TCCCGGCTGCCCCTGCAGTCACTTTTGACTAAATATGGCCAGGGCTCAGCTGGCAGCTGGTGGCGGTGGACATGTGTGCCCCCCGCCCTCCCGCCCTGTCAGGGGCCCAGCCGTGCCCTCCGAGGGTATGGCTCCGCCATGGGCACCGCAAGGTGACCTCGGCCCGCACCCTACTTGGATTTAGTGCAGGCGCACCCAGGGGGAGGACTGGCTGGTTCAGGGCAGAAAACGGACGGGGACCCCCAGGACACCCCCACTCAAGACCCTGGCACTAGGTTTGTCATTGCCAGCTTGGGAAGCCAGTGCCTGGGGAAGGTGCAGGCCCTGGGCGTGAGGGGGGGATGGCAGATAGGAACTGCCTTCCTTGCTTTGTCACCCCCAAACGCGGGGGTCCCCCTCGGTGGGCTCCTTGGCCAGGCTCCCTCCCCATCTAGGCACACCAGGGGTCTGGCCAGAAAGCCTGGGAGTGTGTGTGTTGGGGGGAGGGGGCTGTACTGGGTGGGGGAGCTGGGCCAGATGTTCCTGGAATGGGACTGCGGTGAGGATGCTGACTGGAATTTGAAGGGGGAACATTCCCCATGTGCCCTGGGCTCTGGGTGGAAATGGGCTGTTTTTTCAAGCTGGGTGTGTGTGTGTGTGTGTGTGTGTGTGTGTGTGTGTGTGTGTGTGTGTGTGTGTGTGTGTTGGGGGGGGTTCTCAGTGTCTTGCCAAGCTCCTGTGAAAGACACGTCCCAGCCCTGCCTGGGTGCCCGCACCTGTCTGGTGGCGTTAACCCCTGCCTTCCCGAGACACCCCGTGCCAGCCAGAGCGCTCTCTCCATGGGACAGTAGGGCAACAGCGCTCACCGGGACTGGCTCCAGGACCCTCGTCCAGGGTGCTGCCCCTAGCCGGCTCTGCTCCCTGACAGCCCCCACACCCCACAGGCCCCCCGGGGCGGCTGTCCGCACCCTAGCAGGCTTGGCCCTGAGCCGAGGGCCTCTTCGGCGCCTGCGTGCGCGCTCCGAGGCACCCGGGCTTTCCCGCAGCCGGGCCGCTCAAGCGTTTCCTGGAGACTCCTCAGAGAAAGCCAGGAAGCCTTCGGCAGCCCAGTCACCTGCGGCTCTGCCATGCCTCGCTTGCACCCCTTTTGTTTTGGGGTTTTTTTTCCCTCTCCATTTCTGGTCTCCTCTTCCACGTTACCAACACGAAACGGGGTTCGCCGTTTCTTTGAAGTCTGGAGACAGCCGGAATGGCGCGCGCAGAGCGCCCCGGCGGGCGAAGGGTGATCGCTGGGGGTACCCCGAGCCCCCAGGCCAAACTTGGGGACAAGTCTGCCCCCGGCGGCGGCCCGGGCCGCGGCTTCGCCTAGGCTCGCAGCGCGGCGGCGCGTGGGGCGCAGGGGCGGCGGGGAGCCCGCGGGCCTCGGCGGCGGCGGCCCGGAACCCCCGAGGCGCGGGCGCAGCGCCGCGGCCCGGGCGGCCCCAGCGCGCTCCGATCCGGCTCGGGCCGACGCGGCTGCGGAAGCGCTGACCGGGCCCTGAAGGGCCAGAGCCGGGCCAGACAGGTCGGGCAGGGCGCGCTCCGGGGCGCCCCGCGCTTACCTGCCCGCACCCTCGCCCTGGAGCCGCCGCCGCGCGCCCGGTGCCCGCGTCCCCCGGGGAGGGCGCCACTGCTCCGCGCGCCAGCCCCCTGGCGCAGCAGATCCCGCCGGCGCGCGGCTGCTCCCGCTCCGAGAGCCTGGTTTCTGGAGCGTGGTCCCCACTTTGGGGGGGTCCCCCAAAGCGCCCGGTGACTTCCCTGCTTGCTTTCGGCTGGGAATCAGCTCTTCGTTTTCTTTGTGTTTTGTTTTTGTTTTTGCCCGAGATAACTGTGGGCATTGCTCCCGAGAAGCCCTCGCGTTTGTACAGGTTCCCACAATTTCTTGGGCACTTATTTCCTAACAGTTACCCCAAAAACCCCACACCCGCCTCCCTCCCCCAGGCACCCCCGGATGTGCACCTTGCACCCGAGGCTCCCAACTTTACTTTTCCTAGGCCGTGTTGGACAGGCGCCCCAGCTCCTGCATGGCTCTGGCGCGACCTCCAACTCGGCTTTCCAAAATTAAACAGTGACACCCCCTCCGGCCCCCCCACTCTCCGGGGCCGGGGACCAAAATTCCTCTGACTCCTTAAAACCTGGGTAGTGTTTCCCTGACATTTAGGGATTGTTTTGCCCAAAGTTTGGGGTATTCGGTTTAATGTAGCTAATGGGTGTGGGGTCCAACTTTTCTGGGCCCTGCTCCACGGCCCCCCACGGGGTCCGCTCTCACAACTCTGTCCTCACCAACCTTGTTCTAACACTTTGCCCTTCCCCGGGGGGGCTCCAGGTCCCCAGCACACTGAGCAGACTTCCCAGAATCCTCCAAGTTTGGCCCCGGTGCCTGCCACCGCCCCAGCGTGTGGCACCCCTTAAAGAGAGCCGCGAATAGTGTAAACTCCCCATCTCACACACAGCCACTTCCCTGTCGTGCCCCTAAACTCAGGATTTTTACATTGCCCCCTCCCTCCTTGGGTCAGGACCTTCTAGAAGCTTCCAGGGTACATATGTGTTGTGGCCTGGGGCATGGCAAGCACACGGCATTGCCAACACGGAGTTCCAAGGCTGCACCCACCCCAGGTAGCACAGGGTGGCCCCGGGGGCTGGGAAGCCGGTAAAGGCCCTTCAGGCATCAGGCTGTGTGTGTGTGTGTGTGTGTGTGTGTGTGTGTAGGTCTCTGGACCCCACACATTTGTTGCACATCCTGACATTCTGTATTTTTTTTTTTTAAGAAAGTAGTGAAATAAATGTGGACATTTAAAAATGCCCCCAGTTCCCACCTGGTGACCACCAGGAACCACAACTTTCTGAAACTCAGCCCCTACATCCTGCTGCCCAAAGGGACCCCTCCCCACTGCGGCTCCTCCTGGCGTCTCTGACAAGGTTGTGGGGGTCCTCACTCAACCTTGCCCCAGGGTCAGACAGCCGTGCACACCCTGGCCACCCCTCTCCCCACACACACAGCACCAGCAACAGCCGGCCGGCCAGCTCCAGCTCCACTCCGGCAGCACTGTCCTGTCCTAGGCCCAGGCACCTAGGGACCCTGGTCCCTAAAACCTGCACACGGACCCTCGCCGGGCCAGCAGCCCAGCACACATCCTTGCCCTGGTGGAACCCCATGTAGAAATACCGTCTCGCAGCCCTCCGAAAGAAACAAAAAATTTTTTTTCCTCGTAAAACAATTGAGCTTTTATTGAACATTGATTTATAAGTCTTCTGACTGTGCAAAGTCTTCTGACGGTCCCCACTTTGCTGGGACCCCTACCCGAGTCCCCCCAAGTGGAAACAATGTGGCCTAGCCCCGCTGCCGCACAACTGAGGCAGAGCGGCGGCACCGCAGGGTTCCCTGGGTCCCTCAAACATCTTCATTTCGGCTGAAACCGAGGAGCGAGTGATTTCCACAGAGTCCCCTAAAACTCAGAGAGTGTTTTACTGGGGTTCCCGAAACGCAAGCGTCATCCTAGAGGACCCCCTCCTCTTTACCCCTTCTACAAAAACGGATGCAAATCTGGCTGAGAGCAAGACCGCTGGTGCCTCTGCATCCCCCAAATGCGCCGCTCACACTCTGGGTCCCCCGAATTTAGGCAGCTTTATGCGTGGCTGTAAAAAGACAGCATCGCCTGCGGTTGTAAAAAGACAACTGCCCCTAGGGAACCACAGCACGGATCCTGAGGAGTCCGCGCCACCCCGAGTGTGCCTGGGTCTCTAACCTGGGGGGGGGGCACTGTGTTTTGGTCCCTTCATCCCACCATTTTCAGCAGGGTGTTTCTCGGGGTCAGCCAAGTGCGCTAAACTCCTGCGTGGAGAATTTTCTCTAGTCCGGCAGGGACACCTACCCCTTCTCCAAGCTGGCCTAGGATTCCCTGCTTGCCCCCAAGCCCACCCACCTTGGCGCTGGGAGGGGACCCTCTTTTCCAACCTGGGGTCCAGGCTCGAGGAGGTGTGCTTCCTGCCGCGGCTCAGATTAACCATTAACCTTGGCTCCCACTTTGCTGGGTCCCCCTCTGCCACGCAAACCACTCGGGGGCTCAGGATTGGGACCCCGAAATCTGGACATTGTTCCCTGCGCAGCGGGCACTGGCTTCGGGCCTCTCTCAGTTGCCCCCCGCCCCAAGCTACCCTCTCACTGAGGTTGGGGGAATTTTCCCCACCACCTTCCCCGGGTTCCCCAAGCCTGCTCAGGTCGGCCGCACGCCCGCGAGTTCGTGGGCAGCGCGCGTCCCGCATCGAGGAAAGTGCTTGGGCCTTGCCCCACTTTCCCCCAAATTTGGACATTGTCCCCGCGCCTTCCAGAGGACTGGGCGTTGCCCCAGGACACGGGGGCCTGCCCCGGGGTCCCTCTCACCTTCAGCCGCGTCAGCGCTCGGCTCGCGGGTCCTCCTCGGCCGCCGCGGCTCCTCGTGCGCCCGCGAACGCAGCCCGCAGCCCCTCGCACGGTGAGCTCCCCGCCGCCCCGGCTGCTCCCGCCCCGCACCCGTCTCCGTCCGCACCGCGGGCAACCCCGGCGGAGCTCCACGAGGGGCGCGGGAGGCGGCGGCCGCGCTCCCGCAGGCCGGGCGCCCCCAACCCCGCGCCGCTTTCGTTTGCTCGGTGCAGAGTGTGGAAGGCGCCTGGGGGCTGCAGGGCCCTGCGGCGGGCCGGGGGCTGCAGGGCCCTGCGGCGGGCCGGGCGCTGGGGCTCCGGGACGCCGAGGAGCGGCGCCTGCAGCCCGCCAGGCCCTGGGGGGGTGTGGGGAGGCGCGCGCCGAGCGCGGGCGGAGTGATTGATGGCGGAGCCAGGGGGCGAGCAGGGCGCGGGCTTCCGCCGCCAGCGGCGGCCCCTGCCCTCGGCGAGGTGCGCGCGCGGCCGGGGCTGCGGGGGGCGGGAGGGCTCGCGGCCATTCGCGAGTGGTTTTTGAGTTGACGATCAAGAACGGTTGGTCTCACCCCGTCCAAACTCTCTAGGAGATGTTTCCCCCGGAACCCCAAATTGTCGTGGTGGCCCCCGGGGCCGAACCCGCGTCTACGCAAGTCCAGCGCACTGAGGACGGGGGAACCATTATCCGGCTGTTCTGGGTGGGCCCCCAAGGCGAGCTGCTTAGACGCGCCCCCGAGAGCCAGGTCCCGCAGGTAGGACACCCGCCGCCCCAGCGGCCGCAGCCTCCTCGGGTCCCGCGTCTGACCCGGATCGCGCTGGGCTCGGCGGCCTCGCCGGCCCCTCGCACCTGGCGGCCGCCGCCACTGCTCCGAGCTCCCGCACGGCACCGGGGGGCGCTCGGGATCCGGCTGCAGCTCGAGGTCCCGCGCGCACGGCTCCGCCCGCGCGGGCAGGTGGGGGCCGCCGAGCCAGCCGGGCAGAGCCCGCGCGCTGGCCAGCGGGGACCCCCCCCCCGCTTCGGGCCTGGCGGGGAGTCACCTGCGCCCACCCGAGCCCCGCCGAGGCGCGCCCGCCGTGTGCGCCCGCCGCGGGGCGCGCGGACCCCCTGCCGCTGCCACGAGCGCGGCCTCGGCCAGAGCCCGGGGTGGCGGTCAGCCGCGCTCGCCCCGAGCGCCCCCGACGCGGGCTAGCAGGGCGCGCGCCCTTGCACCCCGGAAACACGGGCAGGACCCCCCAAATTCTTTCGAACGGGGTTCCAGCGTTTCGCTGGCACTTGGCGCTTCCCTGCCCCCACCCCACGACGCTGCCTGGTTTCCGCGCACCCCCCGCCCCCCACCCCGCCGATCGTCGCCCCCGGGGCTCTGGGGGGGCCCCCCCAGCCCGCCAGTTCCCCGCTCTGGCTCGAGTTGCGAGGGCGGTCCGGGGGCGGGGCGAGGGCCCCGCGGGCGCCCATTGGTGCGGGCGCGCGGCCAGCGGGGCCCGAGCGGGCGCCGAACCGCGGGGTGGCGCGGCTATAAGAGCCGGGCGTGGGCGCCCGCAGTTCGCCTGCTCTCCGGCGGAGCTGCGTGAGGCCAGGCCGGCGCCCGGCCCCCCCCTTCCGGCCGCCCCCCGCCGCCTGGCCCACGCCCGCCCGCGCTCGGCCCGCCAGCGCCTCCATCGGGCTGGCGGCCCCGCGTCGACGTCGCCCGCCGCCTCGCTGCTGACTCCCGTTCCGGGCGCCGTCGGCGGGGCCGCGCTCCGCCGGGCCTGCGGATCCCCAGCCGCCTCCTCGTCCATCTACCTCAACGCCCGTCCCCGCTTCGCCCGAGGAGGCGGTCCCCCCCGCAGGCAGTCCGGCTCGCAGGCCGCCGGCGTGGTCATCCCCCCCGCGCGCTCCCCGTCCCGGCCCTCCCCCGGCGCACTGCCGCGGACCCGCTCTCTCCACGCTGCGCCCCGAGCGGTCCCGGCGCCGCCACCGCTGCGCCCTCCCCGAGGCCCGGGCTCACGACGGCAGAGGGCTCCGTCGGCCCTGACCGAGCTGGGTGCCCGCGCCCGGGGACACCTCCTCCGCTCCGTCCCCCTCCGCACCGCCCCCGGCCCCCGACGTGGCGCCCTGCCCCTGGCTTCTCTGGGCACCCCACTCCCTCTCTACTGCCTCTCGCCCCGGCCCCCCGTTTTCTCCCGCTGCCTTCCCTTCGCTCCCTCCCGGCCCCCCCGGCCCCGCGCCTCCGACGCCCTCCCCACTCCACGTCCGCCCCCTGCCCCCGCCGGCCTCACGTGGGCCGTTTCTTGTTCTGTTTCTCTCGTAGCTGTCCTCACCCGCTGTGCTCCTGCCCGCCTCTCGCTGTCCCGTCTCCAGCTCTCGCCCGGCTCTTCGGTCCCCCCCGTTTACGTTCACCCTGTCTCTCTCTCTGTCTCTGCCCCCTTCTGTCCTGCGTACAACAGGTGACCTCATTTCCCGACACCTTTTCCCCCCTAAAAAGTACAACATCTGGCCAGCCCCAGCCCCAAGACGGCCCGTCCTCGCTAGGCGACGAGAAGCAGTCCCATCCCCACCACGAAGCCATCTCCCCGTTCGGCCCCGTCGCCCATTCGGCCCCCGCGACGCGTTCCCGAGCGGCGCTGGCAGAGGAGTGCCCGGCAGGAGGGCCAGCGCCCGCTGTCCGGTTCGCGACACGCAGCAGGGAGGTGGGCGGTGGTGGTGCCGGCTTTCAGGTAAGCGAGCGCACGGGCCGCCGAGTGTGCGGGGCGGGGCGCGGGACTCTGTCTCTGCGGCGCCAGGCCGCGCGCTCAGACGGCGGCCAGCTGGGGAGGGGGTGTGCGCCTTGGGGACCGCGGGGCGGGTGGGGGCGGGGGGCTGTGAGCCGCGCACAGAGGCCACTTCCTGGTCGGCATTAAGGGAGGAAAAGGGGAGGGCGATGCGGCTGGAGATGTGGGGGGACTTGTGCCGGCGGGCGGGGCCCCGCCCTTCCCCCCTCCTCCCCCCGCGCGGCGCTGGGTGATGGGGAGGGGGCGCAGGGACTTGGTAGGTTGACGCGGTGCCAACGAGGCTGCGAGAGGGAAACGGGGGGGCGGGGCCGGGCTGGAGCGCGAGAGGCCTGCCCGACCCCTCTTGGGCAAGCCCCAACCCCCTCCCACTTATGCACACCCCCTTCCTCTGTCCCCAACATTCCAAGTCGGAATCTGGGGAGAGGGGCCCCGCTCTTAAGGTTCAAAAGCACACAGAGATGAGGGCCGTAGCCCCTGCTCTCGCCTGGAAGTTTCCATACATGGAGGAGGCGGAGAAATGCGCTCCCCCCTTCCCCCCTCCCGCCCTTGGCGCAGCGCAGAGCGGGGCTGGGGGCGCAGGAGGAGCACGCCCCCTCCCCAGCGCGCGCTGCACTGCGCTGAGGGATGGTCCAGGCTGGCGGTTGGGGTGCAGGAGAGAGGGGACTGGCTGGGACAAGGCGGGGGGCGGGAGCAAAAGGGGGCGGGGGGAGTGGTCGGCGGCGAAAGGGGCGGGGGGTAGGGTGGAGCCCGGGCTGGGAGGAGCCGGCTCGCATATAAAAGCGCAGGCACTGACCCGCTTGCAAACTGGACAGTGGCTTCTCCCCGGAGAGAGACCAAAGTCTCCTCTCGCTGCTGCTTCTCCTGCCGCTCCTCCTTCGTCGCTCAGCCTCCTACCCAGCCGCAGGTAACCAGGGCTGCCTACCGAGCCAGGACCCCTGCTGCCATCCGGCTCCAGCCTGGCCTGCCCTGCCCGCCCGCCCGCCCGCTCGCCCGCCCGCCTGCCCGCCTGCCCCTGCCGCACACCAGGCTCGGGCCTCGGGCCCCCGCTGCTGGGCTGCGCTCGCTCGCACAGGGCCCTGCGTCCCTTCGCCTGCTCCTGCCCTCCCGCTCCCCTGCCCCTGCCTCCCTCTGCCCTCGCACCTGGTCCCCTGCCTTCCTCACCTGCCGCAGCTCGGTGCCTTGGTCCTTGCCGGCCTCCGCGGGGTTTACGATGGGAGGGTAAGGGGGGTTACCTGTTGGGGGAACACTGCGTGCCTTCTCCACAGCCCCTCTGCAGCCGCCTGGCAGGGGGATGCAGCCGCCCCGGGGACTGACGGCAGCTGGGCGAGTTGGGGACGGGGTGGCAGGGAGGTGGCTGGGCGGTGGGCAAGCTGGTCCTGGTGTCGCTGTGCCTTTTTCGCATGATTGACGACCTCGAAACTCTCCCAGGCCTTCGGGGGAAGACCCCACCACCTCGCTCCAGGGCTACGGGGGCAGCTTGCTGGGTTGCGCCCAGCCTCCGCGCCCTGGAGTGGGTGTGTCATAGGATGGAGTTGGGGTGCAGAATGCTAGAGTGGTCTCCCTGTGGCTCCCTGCACCTCCCTAGCCAGTGGTACCGCGGCTGGTTGACTTGGGGGGTCACGGAGTCAGGTACCCCGAGGGGGGAGGGGACAGCCGGTGGCCCGGGAAGGACTCCGATGCCCATCCCTGAGGCCCACAAAAGGGGGCGTTTGGCTTTTGATACGTTTTGGGGTGTCCGGGGCCAGCTGGCATGGAGGACTGTGGAACAGCTCCCTGGGTGTGCGTGGGTCGCTTTGGAAAGGAGGGGGGAGGGTCAGCGTTGGCCCAGCAGGACCCGCCTGCGTCTGTGGTGCTGGGGTAGTGATGGGGGGAAGGGCTGGTCCCCCTGGAGTCCCCTGCTCAGCTGGTGGGGGAAGGGCGCCAGTGCCTGTGGATGCTGATGGCCCGTCCCCATGATGTCACAGCAGAGCCAGGTCCAATGCCCCGTGCCGTGGGTGTGGCCCGCGGGGGCCCAGGGTGTGCAGGTGGCCAGGGCCTCGGACGGCTCCCCTTGAGCGTGCGCGGAGGAGCGCAGCGGCTCGCGCTGACCGCCCCTTCTTCTCACAGCAGGCACCAATGGGGATCCCCATGGGGAAGTCGATGCTGGCGCTTCTCACTTTCTTGGCTTTTGCCTCGTGCTGCATTGCTGCTTACCGCCCCAGTGAGACCCTGTGTGGCGGGGAACTGGTGGACACCCTCCAGTTTGTGTGTGGGGACCGCGGATTCTATTTCAGTAAGTATCTGGAGGGGGTGGGGCCCCCTGGGGTCTGGGCACCTGCTGTGTGCCACTTGGGAACTCCCAGGGAAGGGGTCTCCTGGGCGCCCCCTCCCCTTGGCAGCTAGCGGGGTGGGGGTGGGCGGCTTGGGCTCCCGAGAAGGAGAGGGTGCCCTGGGAGGGTGGGTGTCTGGGAGCTTTGACTGTCCTTCTTCAGCTTGGGGCCTGGGGTCTAGGGTGGGGCCGGACGCTGTCCCCGCTCCCGGGCTCTGGCCACGTGGCCTCTTCCTCTGCAGCCCCCCACTTCCCCGGCCTGGCCGTGTCTCTCTCTCAAAGCGCTCCTGCTGCTGGACTCCCTTGCCTGTCGAGGCCTCTGGGTGCCATCCTGCCTACCTCCCCGCTCCTTGCTCTGGGAACCACAGGGATCAGCCACCCCGCACGGGGACCCCACCCGCGCCTCTGCGCTCATGCTTGTGGGGAGCCTGGGGACCCGAGCAACGAGCGAGCGTGCCGTGGGGGAGAGGGAGAAGGCGGGAGAAGAGAAGGGAGTGGTTTCACGGGTCCCTCACTCCTCCCCTCCCGTCTTGTTCTCTCCTGCCCTATGCTCCCGGGCTCCCGACTCCCTCTGGGCTCCCAGGCTGCGCTGGGTCCCAGTCCGCTCCTGGGCGCACAACCCCCCCACCCGCTGCTTCCAGTCCTGGGGGTTTCTGCCCAGCCAGTGGGGGGGGCACCCGGGGAGAGGAGGCAGGAGGCACCAGAGACTGCACCCTGTCTGTCTGTCTGTCTGTCTGTCTTTCTCCTGTCTGGGGCTCCCCTTCAGCCTGCAGGGTGGCGGAGGGTCCCTCCCCAGGGGCCGGGGTGCTCACGTGGGCTTTGTTTCCGCCCTGTGGGCCTTCCAGGCCGGCCAGCCAGTCGTGCGCCCCGCCGCAGCCGTGGCATTGTGGAGGAATGCTGCTTCCGTAGCTGTGACCTGGCCCTCCTTGAGACCTACTGTGCCACCCCCGCCAAGTCCGAGAGGGACGTGTCGGCCTCTTCGACCGTGCTTCCGGTGAGGCCCTGGCCCGCCTTGGGGGGCTGGGCGGGGCAGCAGCAACCCGCCACCTGGGGCACGTGCTGACGGCCCCCCTTCTCCAGGACAACTTCCCCAGGTACCCCGTGGGCAAGTTTTTCCAATATGACACCTGGAAACAATCCGCGCAGCGCCTGCGCAGAGGCCTGCCTGCGCTCCTGCGTGCCCGCCGCGGTCACCAGCTGGCCAAGGAGCTGGACGCCTTCCGGAAGGCCAAGCGTCACCGGCCTCTGCCAGTCCAGCCCGAAGACCGCACCCACGGGGCGTCCTCTCCAGAAACTCCCAGCCATTAGAAGTAAACCAAATTGTGATTCTGCAGCCTGGAACCATCGCCTGTGACAGCCTCCTGGCCGGGGACACCACCACCGTCTCTGCTGACCGTCCTCTGGGTTTGCTCCCACCTCAGGCTCCTGCCCCCAGACCCCCTGCCCCGCCTCCCCCGTCAGGCGTGCCCTCACCACCGGCCGGGGGAGTCATGGCAGCGGCCCAGAAGCCAGCACGCCTTCCACCGCGTGCCCCCAAATTGCAGAGTCAAGAATGCTAGACCCCAATCGCCAAAACACAACATCTCTCCTCAGAAACAATTGGCTTTTTTAAAATTACCAATATGAGATTCCTTGATGATTAAAACAAACACCAAAAAAATCAATTGGCTGAACCAAAAAAGCTAATTGGCACAAAAAAATTGGCAAAATAAAGCAATTCGGCCCCCCCCCCAAAAGCTTTCTCCACCCCACCGGTCTTGGGTCACATTGGCTTGGACTCGAGTCCGTGGGAGAAAGGGGGGGACCCCAGAGCCCGCTGTGCCGACTCCCTCCGCACACAGAGCAGCTGCCCCGACTCGCCCCCCAGCTCAGAGCCGCAGGGACCCACTCAGACCGGGGAGGGCCCACAGCGTGAGTATCCACTCACCTCACCACCCACACAGGCACACATGTGCACACACTCAAACCTCACGGACACACACTCGCAACGGACACACACCACCCCACACACTCACACACCTGCCGATCGCTGGAGCTGTTTCCACGCTGTGAGCTCTCCTCTGGTCCCTGCTCCGCTGCCCGCTGGGCCCTAAGCTGAGCTTCCTCCCCGAGAGGAAGCGTGTGCCAACCCTGGGCTGGGCCATGTCACCTACAGAGCCCAGCCACCCTCACAGCCACCTGAGGCCCGTGGCCTCGTGGGCAGCTGGGGCGAGTCGTGTGGCCAGTACCACCCACCTGCCGAGTAGCCTGACGCCCAAGCTGTGCTCCTGGGAGAAAGATCTGGGGGATCCGCCCCCACCCGAGCACGGCAAGGGACCGTCCCTGCCCGTCTCCCCCTCCTGGGGGGTTCTCTCGGAAACGGGGGGGCTCCCCAGAAGGGGCAGCCTGGCAGGGATGGTGGGGAGTGTGGGAAGTCTGGAGGTTGGAGGGGTGGGTGGGGGGCAGTGGGGGCTGGGTGGGGGGAGTTTGGGGCGAGAGTGGCCCAGGGACCTTTGCGTCAGCCAAGTCCGGAGGAACCGCAGGAGTCTGCAGAATCGTGGGGAAATTAGGGATCCAAATTCTACGACAGTCCTCTATCCCCCCGCTTTCCTTCCTGGGGCAGGTGTCTTCCTTTTTTTGTTTTGGTTTGTTTTTTTAGTTTTTTATTTTGGTTTTTTGTTTTTGATCCCCTCCCCCCGCTTTCTACGCGCTCGAACTTCAAATTGAACTTCCTCCCCCGTAACAGGGGAGCAGTGACACCAGCAATGACAAGCAAGTGAAGTGATCTCCGGCCATACCACCGCGTCCTGCTCTCCGCCATTTATCGCCTTAATTTGGACTTTGCTCTGTCTCTGTTGCTTGGGTCGTGTTGAGAGTGGAGCCTCCCAGGGGTGGTGCTGGCCGCGGTGCCCCCTGGGAGAAGTAGGGGAATGGAGACGGGCCGCTCCTCGGCCTGGCCTCGGGGGGGACGGTGGCTGGTCCCCTCGAGGTCCCGAGGGCGTGGGGGGGGCAGTTGTGGCAGGGGCTCCTCAAGTGTCAGGGGGGTGCTCGGAGGTCACCAGGATGGGGCCCCCGCCGGCTCGTCGTCGGTGGGGGGGAAGGGGAAGACGCATGGGCCAAGGGACTCCACCCGGCGGGAGCAGGTGGCCGCCTTCCGAGCACTTGAGGACCCTCTCCCTCTGCCTCAGTAGCAGCTTGCCCACCCCTCGGCACCCTGCCGCGTGCCCGGGAGGCCTGCAGCTCTGCACAGCCTCCTGGGGCGCAGGTGGGGCGAGGTCGGGGAGCAGGGGAGGTCAGGAGAGCCTGGCCCTGCGGAGCAGGAGAGCTGCCCAGGTCTGTCCATCGACCGGGCGTGTCGGGACCCCAAGAGGCCCACGGGTCTGGCGAAGCCGCCGCAGCCACCTCCACGCGGCGCCTGGGACTGAGGCGGGGACCCTGGCGGCTGGGAGGTTTACCTCACCCCCACCCGTGCCCCCAGTGCAGCCCCCCCGCCCGCCAGTCCCACCAGCAGGCTGGAGGCCCGAGGCTTCCAAGTTCCCGGCATTGGGGCAGGTGCGACCCCGGGGGTCGTCAGCACCAGCCCAGCCCTGGCACAGGGGGTCTTAGCCAGTGCCTGCCGAATGCGCCCATTTGGAACATTGGATTGGCACCCAAAGAGCAAAAACGGTCAGAATTGGAGAACCCGGATTGGCCTAACATCCAAAACGGCTCCGAGGCACCCCAAATTGCTCGCCCAGTCGGCCGGACCCCCGCCCCAAACGCTACTTCTTGCCTCGGAGGGGCGTGGGGTTTCGAGGGGCTCTAGCCGAGCTCTCTCTGTGCCCCCAAGTTAGCAGCTCTCCCCTGGGTCACCGCCATCTGACCCGGGCCACCTGCCTGACCTCCCGCGCCTTGTCACGGCCCTCCATCGTGTCTCTTCCCCCAACACTGTCTTCGGCGGTCCCCCCTCTGGGGTCCCTCCCTTCACCATCATCCGAAGACCCTCCCCACGCGTCAAACGCCCGGTGCCCCTCCCATCGTGGTGCCCGTGTTTGCCTCTGCCCGGCCCCTTTAACATGCTCATCTTTCTGGCAAAATCCAGGCTTGGGTTTTGTCTAACCTGTAACGCTCGCAATCCCAATAAAGCATTTAAAAGTCTCTTTGGAGTCCTCTGCCTTGTCACTTGGGGGTCGGCTGAGGGGCAGGGAGGGGGAGGTGTCAGGGCCATGAGAGATGGGGTATGGGGTCTCTTCGCTTCATCCTTCCCAGCCTTCTGGAGGGAGGGGTGGGCTGGGCATCCCCTAGAAACTTCTGGAACGCCAGTTGGAGATAGAACTTGGGGCCAGTTCTCTGTGCAGTTTCCCTCCCCCCCTCCACCCCACCCGGGGAGTTAGGGGTTGCATTCAACACCACTGGTACCTCCCAGGGCTCAACCCTGCACCCACCTGTGTCCAGATGCCCTTGGCCTGGGTGGGAGGGAGGAGCCGACCCCTCAGATGCCTGAAGCTTACGCCACAGACCCCCCGACCCCGGGCCCCTGCTTTGGTATAGGCTTGTGTGTGTCTGGTCACCCCACTGCGGGTGGGGGCTGGGGAGCTGGCCCTGGGCAGGCTCCGGGTGCTACGTGGCATCTGGAGGGAAGGCCCACCCTGCCATGAGGGTGCCTGGCTGGGGGCGGGGAGGCGGTCAGCTTCCGCGGCCCTGGTTGGCTGGCTCACTGCACGTCTGTCCACAACTCCCAGGCTGCCCACAGCCAGGGAAGGGGTCTGCTGGAGGAGGCGAGTGGGGTTGGGGTCAGGAAGGAGTAGAGGGGCACGGAGTCCTGGGTTTCCTGTGGAGCCCCTGACCGGTAGAGGTGGGGCCGGCGGCGGGGGCGCTGACTTGGCCTGTGGTGTGTTGAACGCTCAGCTGCCATGTGGTCCTCCGTCACCCCTCCCACCCTGTGGGTGCTGCTTCCCCCTGGGACCCCCCTGCAGCCCCAAACAATTCTGACCCAGCCCCAGAGGAGCTGGGTTTGGGGCTGGGGGCTCCTGTCCCAGCCACAGCTGTCACAGCGGCCATGTTCTCCACCTGGACCTGGGCCTGACTGTGTGGGCTCGGTCACCCCAACACTGCCACCCTGCGCTCTCAGGCTGCCCCGCCCCTGTGGCTCCCGCCTGGGGGTCCCCTTGCTTTTCAGTGTAGGCCCTTCCCCCAAGCCCAGCTGGCACCAGCTTCCAAGCCCACTCGCTGCACCCCACCGTGTCCCTGGCTCTCGCCCCTCACGATTGCCCCTATTCTGCTTTGAGGGACCAAGCCTCACGGGAGCTGGGGAGCTGCCTCAGCCCTCCTTTCCTCTCCCTGCACTGGAAATTCTCAGTGGATTGCAGCAGCAGCCCCCTCCAGTCCTACCCCCACCCACATGCCCACCTACTCATCCAACCACCTACCCACTCACCCTCCTGCATGTCCACCCAGCCACTCATCCAGCCAGCCACCCACCCACTCAGCTACCTGCATACCCACCCACCCACACATTCAGCCACCCATCCATCTACTTGCATGCTCACCCACCCACAAATATGGGGGCACTGCCCCCGTTCAGGATACCCTAGGCAGAGCTGAGGGCCTGATGTTTGGAGTGAAGGAAGCAGGAAGCAGCGGAGGGTACCAGCTGCCCCTGAAGGCAGGAAGGGGGCAGAGAGCAAGGGGCTGGACAGAGGCTGTGGGTTCTGCAGGGCAGAGGGACACTATGGCAGGAGGGTGAGCGTGGGGCCAGTGTGGAAGGTGAGGCTGATGCCTCGTTGAGGGGTCCCCTGCGCCGGGCTCTGCAAGGCAAGAACGGGAACTCTGCGGGAGGGTCTGGTGGGGAGGGGTTAGTGGACGAGTTCCTGAGACATCACATCGTCCTGAGAGCAGGCCTAACTCTCCAGAGAGAGGAGGAGGGGGGAGGTGGCGCAGGGCACTCGGCCAGGTGACGTGTGAGGCAGCAAGGAGGCCTGGGGCTGCCTGGAACAGGAGGGGCAGAGCAAAGGCGCTGTCCCCGAGCCTCAGGGGTGGGCATGGTCCTGCTGGTCCCTCAGTCCCATCTAGCTGGCTTTCTGGACCACCCCAGCGTCCTGAAGCTGGTTGCATTAGGGTGCCCTAGCTGGCATCCACTGCCACACCCTGCCCTGCTGGCTCCCGGCGTCTCCTGCCCACACTGGTCTCCCCGACCAGGCAGCACTCTGGAGGTTGACTGGACTGTGGTGTAGCATGTTAAAAACCAGCCCCATCCCATATGGCCACTGGTCCGAGCCCCACATGTCCACTTCCCATCCAGCTCCCTGCTGATGCCCCTCGGAAAGCAGCAGAGGATGGTCCTGAAGGCA